AGGTATAGCTATTGGTCCATCCATGTATATAAGAAGAAAGACTGATAAGAAATGAAAAGAATTGGAATCAATTAGTCCAATAGACTAATGGAGCATGTGAACATCAGTCTCCATGACTCTCAGACTGGAATTAGACAGTGCCCAGCTACCACATAAACTGCTTTGAAAGGGTTCACGTTAGAGGGTCCAAGATAGACTAGGAGAAAGTGTGTAACAAAACTCAAATTATAAAAAACAGACTATAAATATAAAAAGCAGACTTACTGGTCAGAAATATACTGGAGCAAAATGAGACTATGACCTCTGACCACCATTCTTCAAGTCTGGAGAGGAACTCACCCTTGTGGCCCAATTTTCAACCAACCAGTAGAAAAGTATATAGTTGATGATAATAACACTAGAAATATATGCTCTCCATGGATGGTCAATCATTTAAATAAAAAATTCAAAAGAGCAACATTTCCCTAAGGAAAAAGATGAGAAGGAATGGGAAGGTGAGTGGAATACAAATAGGGACCATGTGGAGGAAACAGGATAACTGTTGTTGCATGGATGGGATTGAAATCAATAAGATGAAACAAAGTGTATGACTTTTGGATGTAAAATGGATATAAGTGAGTTTGGAAACAGAAAATTATAATGCTTCTTCAGCAGAAGAGCTTGAACAGCATGGCTTTCCATTAAATAGATATGTGGTCTGTATGTTTATATCAGAAGTGACTTCCAATACTTTTGCATCTTTGTCTTTTACTCTATTAGCTACTAAGTTGAAAGACAAGCTGTAATACATAAGAGATCAACAGTAATACACATTATCTGATTCCATTATAATCTGAGCTAAAATTCCATGAGTTTGCTTCCTCCTAATAGGTACCAAAAAAGGATACATTTAATGTAGAATGTCAAGAATTAATTCCTTAAATACACAAGACAAATTTTAATTTTGTACTTTTTTGGATGCTAAATAGATGTCATGATATTGTCATAGGTTAATTCTGTGGATACACACACACACACAAATATATATATATATATAATTTGTTGTTGTTGTTATGTGCCGTGGAGTCGGTTCCGTCTCATAGCGACCCTGTACAGGGTTTCCGAGGCTGTAAATCTTTATGGGAGCAGAAAGCCTCATCTTTCTCCCGCGGACGAGCTAGTAGTTTTGAACTGCTGACCTTGATATTGGCAGCCCGATTCGTAACCTCTAAGCTACCATATATAGAATTTTAAGGCATCACAATTAGGAAATTTGTTTTAGACAATTTTGCAACACATTCTCTGTAATTTCCTTTAAGTCCTAAGGATTATTTATTTTGCTTTGGTAAATAGGTGAGAAATTTTTTGAATAGTTATAATTCTTCCTAGAGAAGATTTTTTTCTCTCAGTATTTATCATGGTCTAGTTATTGACATTTGTACTGGGAAATTCCATGTCAATTAATTGCCAAAGCTTTCAGGAAATAAAGAAAATTCTATTGAGAAGAGGTTAAATATAAGAAGAAACTAAGAGCAAGTAGTTGATATTATGAACCAGGAAGAACAAGGAAATTGCATATCTTCCAGATTATAATTGAACTTTATGAGCAGACTTTAGTGAAGTCTGTGTTTTCTCAGTTCGTTTTTTGTTTTTCATGTTTGGTGAAATGGTGTGCACCTTGCCTACAAGTATTCTGTTCTCCAAATGGAAACATTTGTTTGAATCCCACTTCTGATATCTTCTTGGAGTCCTTATGCAATGCTATAAGATATACACTGTACCACAAGTTCAGTTTGAACCACTTGATCAGAGGTTCAAATCCACCAGCCACTTCTCAGAAACCCTACATGCGGTCGCTAGGAGTCAGAATCGACTAGATGCACTTAGCAACAATATAGTGAAATAATACAGAGAACAATCAATGGTTTGGGAGGTAAATTCAAAGTACACTTTAGCATATTTATAAAGGACTATTAGTTGGAGCACAAGAGTATATAGGGTATTTAAAGCAAGTCCCCATCAGATAGTGTACTGCAATATCAGAATCTGTGAAAACAAGAAAAAAGTTCTGGTGTGCACTTAATAGTGACTTCTCATTAGAAGTCTATTTTATCAGAATAGCAGTTGTAGACAGTCTGAGAAAGATCTTGAGAAAATAGGGTCAAATGAAATAAGCCAAGTTAAAAACAGAATTTATTTGATTGGTCAGTCCCAAGACTGAGATAGTTTTATTACTCTGAGGAAGGGTGATGAAAACTAGAAGAGATTAATTGTAGAGAGTATGGATCCAGAGATACTACAATGAGATTGTATGAACATTTAATAAAAACACAATTTCTTTATGTTAATCCAATGTCAGTTGAAGACATTGGAGAATGCCTTCCATTTTTTTGGAGGAGAATAGCATTATTTATTTATTTGTTCTTTTTTTTTGAGCAGCTATTCAGCTATTTGTTCTACATATTTCTTGATGAAAGTAGAAACATTTTTTTATTCAATGGCCATTCCTCCCTCTCCCCCACCAGAATCAGAACCCAATGATGGCAACAATAACCATCTGTCTTGTATATGTATATAGCCTCTTGGTTTTTCAAGCTTTTTGGGTTATAGTTTCACAAGTTTATGATTTGTGATTTGTTACTTTTTCTTTGTTTATAATGCTACACTCAAATGCTTGGGCTATGCTTTGTAACTCCAGAATGGCATCTGACATGTCAGACTTAAGGCCACTAACCAAACAGTTAGAGATAGGCAGATTGTGTATATGTTAAAATCCAACTTTAAATGTTTCTTTAAAGTGGATGAGAGTAACACCAATGTTCTCCCATGTGAACTATCACTCAATTCACAATAAAAACTAAAAAGAAAAGACTATCTGCTCTGTAAACCTTCACTCAATTCATAATAACAAGTTTTTAAAAATAAATACTACACACACAAAAAAGTGGCTTGTAATCCATTCCTGAAGTTTCTTTTGTTGCTAGTTGCCATCTACTCAGTTCTGACTTATGGCACAGCAAATAGAAGCATTGTATGATCCTGTGACAATCTCACAATTCTTTTTATGTTTGAGCACATTCTTTCTGCCACTGCATCAGTATACCTCATTGTCAATTGCATTATTTCCACAGTCAATATGAAGAGGAAATATTTTAGGAAGAGATTTCAAAGAGATTAAAAGGAAATGGCATAAGATTTTAATAGCACCACATAAACAACAAACATAAGAAAAATTAATTGAAGAATATGTTGAAGAGTGGTAGGTATAAGAGTCTAAACTTAATAAATTCAAGATATTACGGAGCCCTTTCAAGGTGAGTAGAGACAGCACATCTTGAATCCAAGGTATCTAGCTGTTCTCAAGTAGAATAGTTTCACTGAGGCAAGGAGACACTCCAACAGTGCTATCAAAGACTATATTTTATTCGAATGTTAAACACAGAGAGCCTTTCTTAGTGATTCTATTTGTTTTCCCTATAAGTTTATTTTACTTTTTTTCCCTAGACTTATATGTTTGCTTACTCTGCTCCCTGATCTCTCTCCATTATTTTGTGTTGTTGAGATCTCACTAGCGAAATATAGAACTTTCAAAATTGTTTCCCTGGGCATATTTCTATGTAGTTGTACTCATGACCATCTCAAGGTTGTGTCTGTTTTCCTACTATTCTTTCAGAAGAATCGTAAAAATAATTTGCTAAGCTTTAGATCAGGAACTTTATGAAGTGAACTAATATATTTTTTAATGTATTTCATCCTGTGATTATAATTTTCAAACTCATTGCAGGTGATTTACTATTAATATTGGAAATTTTCAGACAGTTTCAGATATTATTGGTCAATATGGTTTATACTTGATTGAAATGAGTTTATCAATCCTGTTTCATGCCATCATTCATATAAACATGTTTGTCATCATTGTTGTTAAGGGTCATAGAGTCAATTCTTACTTACAGTGTTTCTAAAGAGAATATGTTGGGTTTAATCCAGTGACCTTGTGGCTAGCAGTTCAGCACTTATCCTACCATGTATCACTAGGGCTCCTCAGAAACATGTTTAGATATATTCTTTTAGTCTTGTAATTTATATGTATCTAGAATGTATTTTCTTCACTAACAGCTATTAATCTTATTATTATGAGACAATAACTCTGAAATATCATTGAGCCAATACTGACCCAGATTCACTTTGAGAAACTTATGTTTTGTGATGTTTCACAAAACCCTTATTCTAATATTACTTCTAAAAAACAATCTGTTATACATTTAATAAATCTCAATGGACAGATGAAAATAGGTTATTGAATGGCCTTCACTGTTTATGGGAGCTACAATTACTACTTCCCCTTGAGAACTCAGAGATATAAATCAGTACACAAGTGGCTCCAAATGTTATTTCCAAATATATCTCCAAATATGAGGGATAGTATTTCATAAAATATGTCACTATGAGAAATTAGTCTCTACAAGAGAATGCTCAGTGAAGAGATTTTTTAAAGCCTTGTTTTGAGACCCTATGAGAGATACTAATATCAGTGGAAGAAAGATACACCTTCTGTCTCTGACTTCAGGTACGCTACTTTTTTTATTTTGTTGCTTTTTCTGGTACCTGTTTATATTTTAATTTTAAAATAAAATTGAAAAAATAAATTGATAAAGATATTAATATCAATGCATTGTTAGTAGCATAGTTTATGTTACCTATATTCATAGTAAGGAATCTTGGTGTGGTGCTGTGGATTAATATGCTGGACTGCAAAGTCAGTTTAAACCACAAAGTTGGCCATTCAAGTTCATCAGCCACTCCTGGGAATCCCTATAAGGGTCACTATGATTTGGAACTGACTTGATGACACTTAACAGCAATATATGCAGCTACTTTTATTTTATTATTTTCTGCTTAAGTATACCTATCACACACAAATAATTATTTTATGCAATTATGGATGTTAAAATCAGTAAAACAATTTTTCCACAGTATTAATTTCGTATGGGAATAATCTTAGTTTCAATTTTGCTTAGCAGCATCATTTTATCATTTTATTCTTTGACTCCAGGGAGAACAGTGTATTAATGGACATGGGAAACCTCACTATCATCAAAGAATTTCTTCTCATGGGTATCACAAGCACCCGAGAGCAACAAGTCTTGCAAGCTGTGCTTTTCTTAGCAATTTATCTGGCAACAATGACTGGAAATCTTCTAACTGTTACCGTCATTGTGACAGATACACAACTTCATTCCCCAATGTACTTCTTTATTGGCAATTTATCCTTGCTAGATTATTGCTATATCTCAGTAACTGTTCCTAAATCAATTGTGAATTCTCTGATGGACAGTAAATTGATTTCTCTTCAAGAATGTGTTGCTCAAACTTTCCTATTTATCTTATTTGGATCCACAGAGTTTTTTTTCCTTGTGGTCATGTCCTATGACCGTTATGTTGCCATTTGTCACCCTCTGCATTATCAGCTCATCATCACCCCACGTCTGTGCACACAAATGTCAGGGGGCTCATGGGCCACTGGACTGATCTATTCTGCAATTCACACAGGCACCATATTCAGGCTTCCTTTCACAAAATCCAATGTGATTCACCAGTTTTTCTGTGACATCCCTCAAATCCTGAGCATCTCATCCCAGTCTGTGCAATTTTCTGAGACAGTTGCCATTGCAGGAAGTACTGGCGTGGTCTTACTCTGTGTTGTCATCTTATTCACCTCATATGTTAACATCTTTTCTACTGTGCTCCAGATGCGATCTGTGGAAGCCAGAAACAAAGCCTTATCCACCTGTTCCCCACAGATAGCTACTATTATTTTGTTTATAACCTCTGCGTTATTTGCTTGTTTTGGCCCTATGTCAAATACATCAACTATTCAAAGTCTCCTCATGGCTGTGTTTTACTCCATGGTATCCCCCTTCATAAACCCTATCATCTTTAGTCTGAGGAACAGGGAGATTAAGAATGCTCTCAGAAGAATGTTTAATAGATATTTCAAGGTCTCCTGAAGAGTTATTGTTCTTGCGTGTTTTCATGTTCACATTTTGACTGAAATTAATATTTATACACATTTTTTACCATCAACATTCAGCTGACACTTAAAATTTAGACATTTTGAGAAAGCAAAATATGTAAATGATCAGAACATAATTATTTGATGAAAAACTTTACCTTAATACAATAAATTACAATAAATTATTTTTTCTTCTACTCTCTTCCTCTGAGTATTAATTATAAAAATGTTGCTAAATATTAGGTGTGTTGTCCTTTATTAATCCCTTTTAAGTGACGGTAAATCTAGGGAGATAAATCATTTTCTTAAGTGTATTTTGATTGTGTGATAAAAATTGGATGAAAACTCATTAATTCTCAAATGTAAAATTGTGCCCACAGTGTTTTCAGTTTCATTTGATTTATTTGGGCTTAAGATACACACATCAAAACATACTTTCATTAAAAAATTTCTACAAATACTGTGTTGCTGGTAACATTCTCACATCATTTCAACATTTTGGTTATTTCACCCAAAAGTTATTTTATTTAGCATTGTAACTTAAAATTACATAGATTTTTTTTCAAATGAAATATTTAATGAAGAAATGCTATACTTTTTGTGCTAAATATGTTTGTATTTGTGATTGCATATTAGATTTTTACTGTGTGCTTATTTCTATTACATACTTCAGTAAGGTTGCACACTATGCTTCTATAAACTTACAATTACTAGTTAATTAGAAAATTACAGAGGGAAACACTTATACCTCCAAACAAGTCCACCTAGAACAATATACATATGAAAATAAAATTTATATCAGAATTCTCATTAGATTTCAGAGTTCCCATTCCAAGAGTTAACAGTGGCAAAAATAAGACAATTGATACACAGTTTTCAAAAAGATATCATTTTCTTGTATCCATGTAATATATTGAAGATCCATAATATATATGCATTCTTATTATATGGAAAATACTTCTAATAAAGTTTTAATATTTAAAATAAATGATCTTTAGAAAGATAAATGTAAAAATTTGACATAAGGCATCTGAATTTAGAAACTGATATGAGTTAAATAACTTGTGACTGTGAAAATCTGAATGTTTGGTAGAGTAGAAGATGGAGGCAATGGTAGCTTTAATTAGAGTGCACTACATAGTGGTTCAATTTTTATTCCATCAATTCCTGGAGCCTTGTTCTTTGCCAATTCATTCAATGCACCTTGAACTTCTTCCTTTAGTATCAAGAAAGTGAGGCAGCACAGGAGGCACTAGCTCATCTATGCCAAGAAATTTGGAAGACAACTATCAGGCCTACTTATTAGAAAAGATCCATATTTGTGCCCATTCCAAAGAGAGGTGACTCAACGGAATGTGGAAACAATCGGACAGTATCTTTGATATCCCGTGTGAGTAAAGTTTTACAAAAAGTAATAAAGGCATACATTGACAGAGAACTTCCAGAGGTTTAAGCTGGATTCAGAAGACTATGTGGAATGAGGGATATAATTGCCGATGTCCAATGGATCTTGGCTGAAAGCAGAGAATACCAGAAACATGTTTACCTGTGCTTTATTGAGTGCACAAAGGCTTTTGATTGCACAGATCATGACAAGCTATGGACAACATTGTGAAATATGAGTATTCCTGAATACTTAATTGTGCTCATGAGGAATCTGTACCTGGACCAACAGAACATGGGAACACTGAATGGTTTAAAATTAAGATAGGTGTGAGACAGGGTTGTATTCTTTCACCATACTTATTCAACCTGTATGCTGAGAAAATAATCTGAGAAACTGCATTGTGAAGAAAAACTTGGCATCAGGATTGGAGGACGACTCATTAACAACCTGCGATATGCAGATGATACAGCCTTGCTTGCTGAAAGTGAAGAGGACTTAAAACATTTACTGATGATGATCAAAGACTACAGCCTTTGGTAGGGATTGCATTTCAATGTTAAGAAAACAAAAATCCTCAATACTGGACACATAAACAACATTTTTATCAATGAAGAAAAGATTGAAGTTGTCAAGGACTTTATTTTTCTTTGATCAATTATCAGCACACATAGAATCAGCAGTCAAGAAATCAAATGACAAGTTGCATTACCCAAATCTGCTCAAGACATTTTTAATGTGGTGAACATAAAAGATGTCAGTTTGAGGACTAAGGTGAACCTTACCCAAGCCATGATATTTTTTTTTTATAATCTCATATGCATATGAAAGCTGAACAGTGAATAAAGAAGACTGTAGAATAATTTATGCTTTTGAGGTATGGTTTTGGAGAAGAATATTGAAAGTGCCATTGGCTGTCAAAAGAACAAACAGATCTGTGTTGGAAGAAGTGCAGCCAGTATGCTCCTTCGAGGCTAGGATGGCCAAACTTTCGGTCATATTGTCAGGAAGGACCAGTTGCTGGAGAAAGATATCATGTTTGGTAAAGTGGTGGGTAAGAGGAAAGGAGGAAGACCCCCCAGTGAGATGGATTGGCAAGGTGGAAGCATCAATGGGCTCAAGCGTGGCAACAATTGTGAGGTTGGCTCAGGACCAGGCAATGTTTAGTTCTGTTGTACAAAGGGTCACTACGAGTTGGTATTGGCTCAATGACACCTAACAACAACAACAACTTAGTGGTTCTGTGGCTCTATAAAGTAAGTAAGCCCTGGTGCACTAACTGCAAGGTGGATGGTTCAAATCGACAAGTTGCTCCTTAAAAATCCTATCATTGTTCATTATGTGTCACAACTGACTTGATGGCACTTAATGATAACAACCACAACTTAATACATATACCATGATTTGTAACGTAAATGTCTTACCTTGATCATCTTAAAAGATGCTTTTACAATGATTGTTTATATAGTTCTGGTATCAGTGTACAGTTAAACTGGTTTATTTCATGATTGGAGAAAGATTATTATTGTTTCCTTGATTTCCAGACATAGAGATAAACCTGATATTTTGTAATAATTAAATCCTGTATTGAACAAAACATTTCAGTCATAATATCAGCTCCAGTCTTAGCTACTTAGTGCTGCTAGATCAGAAAAACCACAAGTGGATGATTTTAACAAACTGAAATGTTATTATCTCGATCATTAGGAAGTGAGAAGTACAAATTCACAGAGCTGTCTCTGGTGAATCCTTTTCTTCATTTAATATTTTTGGTCTCAGCAAGTTTTAGAGGTCTCCATGTGTTTTGGGAACAATATTTCATTGGATGTAAGTGCTTCACAGAGAAGGAACCCCAAGTTCAACAGAAATACTTCCCTCCTGGCTCTTCTTTCATGGTGGCAGCATGTAACTCTTCCTCTGCTCACTTCCAGATCCTTTTATATATCAAAAAGTCAAGATACCACCTAATCCTGTAGATTACATCTGACCTTATTTACATCATTGTTGTTGTTTTTGTTGTTGTTATGTGCCAGAAAACATCATGGGGTTGATTGTATTATACTAGATATGGTCTTGGCAGTGATAACTGCATCTTAACGTCTAAGCCACTGAAAATCTTGACCAAGCTATTTTGACACAAAACCTTAATCATCACAATCCATCCATTTAGTTAAATCCCATAAGTCAAATATAAATGTTATATTTCAATGAATTAATGTTAAAAATGAATGTCGTTGCTGCTGTTGTTGTTAAGTGCTGCCGAGTTGGTTCCAATTCACAGCATCCCTGTACAGGGTTCCCAAGGAACAACTGATACATTTGAACTGCTGATCTTGAAGTTTACAGTCCAGTGCTGATCTTACTGTGCCACACCAGAAGTTCTTAAATATGAATAGCTTTCCATATTTTCTATATTGTAAGTAATTATAATGAAGATTAATTTGATACAAATCTTATATTATTTTGTTTAAATCAAATGAGTCAGTGAAGGGTAGAGTTATGGTGTTGGAGGAGAATACTAAAAGTGTCGTGGGCTGCCACAAGAACCAATAGATCTGTTTTGGAACAAGTGCAGCCAGAGTGCTCCTTAGAGGCCAAGATGGCAAAACTTTGTCTCTCATACTTTGGATATATTGTCAGGAGGGACGAGTCACTGGAGACAGATATCATGTTTGGTAAGGTGGAGGGTCAGAGAAAAAAAGGAAGACCCCCAACGAGATGGACTAGTCAAGTAGCAGCATCGATGGACTCAAGTGTAGCAACAATAGTGAGGTTGGCCCAGGATCGGACATTGTTTTGTTCTGCTGTGCATAAGGTTGCTGAGTTGGTGCCAACTTGATGGCACCTAACAACAACAACTAATTGCTGCATTATCCCTTCTAACACTCAGAGTTGATTTCACTATTTCCTAATCTATGAATGCCTACACTGATCAAACTCTCAACTTACTAAATCTTTTTTCAATTGTTTTCATAAATTAATTGATACATTATTATTATACTTACTCCATATCCATGTTAAAGTAAGCTAAATTCAGATCTCTAACTAGTGATATTTGTATGTTTATAAGATTGTATCTCACTTTTGTCAGCGTTGCATTTTGCAAATTACCAGTCAATTAGAACGTCTCCTAATTGATGCTATTATTGTTGTGTGCCATGGAGTTGGTTCCAACTCATAGCAACCCTTTATAGGTTTTCCAAGGCTGAAATCCAAATCTATACATTAACAGACACCTTACCTTTTTCCTATGAAGAGGGTGGTTAATTTGAACTACTGATTTTGGAGTTAGGAGCCCGAACCATAAGTCACTATGGCAAAAACAGTCTCATTATATATATATATATATATATATATAAATTAATTGATATTAAAATATTTTGTACCATCTTTATTTGTGATTCTGGTTTGATTCTGACTATCCTTTGATTAACAATGTTTTAAATCTGTATTCACATATATGTATCTATATCTATCAATATCTATGTATCTATCTATCTATCTATATCTAT